TTATAAAAAAAAATCAAAATTATTTCAAATCTTTCACTTACCCACTAGATTTGTTTTATTTGGTTAAACAATTTTTTCTACAACATACCGACCAAAAGTACAATCTTTTATAACCCCTTGACTGCACTTTGGTTGGATAGTTACAGGTGTTCCTGCCTTAATAATTTGTTTGTCTTTGACTTTATAGACACCAAACCCAGTGTCTTTTGCTAAACTTCCTGATGGTAGTAGATAATAATATTCATATTCATTATTATCTCTTTTTTTCGGCTTTTTTTCTTCTTCTTTTTTAATTTGATTTGAATCGTCTTTAAATTCTTTCTTAAACTCGATGCTACTTGTTGTAGCATTACTCTTCTTATCCTTGTCTTTATTAAGGTTATTAATAAAGCTGTTTGAAGCAACTTCATCTAATGACTCAACAAATAATTTACTCATTTAATTAATTTTTTAGTTTTTCTTAGATTAAATATGACATAAGTAAATATAACAGAACAATAAGAAGATTGATTTATATTTTTACAATAATTTTAAAACTTCCTTTTGAATAAAAATCCTTTCTAAATTTAATATAATTAAAAATGCATTCTAGATATTTATAGTTAATCCATTTTTATTATATATTTTTATAAAATTTACTAATCAGGAAAAAATAAGTTGTTGTAAGGTTTGTATTGAATCTTTGTTACAAAACAAAGTAATTTAGTTTAACAAATTTATTATTTATTTGCCTTTTTTATTTTTCTTGATTAACCGAACTTTATTTAGAACATGTATTTTTGGAAAATACCATTCTTATTATTTTTTTTCGATCCAGAGAATATAACAAATCATATTTACTATTTTATTTAAATAATTTAACTAAAAATATAAAGAAATTAATTGAGAAAAATTATCTAAGATATCCAAAAAAATGATGAATAATACCAATCTGTAAAAGGTGTAAAAAATATTATAAAGAAGAACAACGAAAAAAGTGAATAAAAAGAAGAATTCAGTAAAAAGAAGAGAAAAAAGACGGTTAAATAGAATGACAGTAAAATAACATCATGAAAAAAATAGGAAATGTTAACAAGGAATAAGGTTAAAATAATAGAATAGTTTGTGAATCGAAAAAAAAGAATAGGAAGAAATAATATATAAACATGTAAAGACATGATGATGATATAGAATATGTTGTTGTTAATACAAAATAAAATAAAAATAAAGAAAGTTAAATGAATAAATAAAGGAAAATAAAAAAAAGACAACAAACAAAAGATGAAATGAATAAAAGAAGAATGATAAATAAATACATAAGAAAGAAAACAAAGAAATAGAATAACAAATGAAAAATGAAATAAACAATTCAATATAATGGATGATACTTGAATACAGAAATAAGAGTTATAATAAAGAAAAGAATCACAGTAATAATTTCAAATAAGAAAAAAAGTAAGTTCAGAAAGTATTAAATTAATAAAAAATATAAAAGAGAATAGATAACATACAGAAGTTAATAAGTTATAATAAAAAACATAATGAATGTTATGGAAAATGTTTCTATCACAACCAAACATTTCAAAAAAAAAATTAAATTACAATGTTCATGAGACTATTCTTACCAGAGCTATTAGCAATAGAAGATAAATTTATTAATATTGAATTAACTATTTTTTTTTTTGACATTCATAAACATTGTTTTTTCAATAAATTAAGCTTAAAATAAACTTAAATAAATAGTTAAAATAATGAATTAAAAAATTATAAAATATAGAATTTGTCTTGCCCCATTTCTTGGAATAATCCTTTTTAGTTCATATCAATACTTCTTAAAATATTAATAAAGAATTAATAACCACAAAAGAAATATGATAAGAAGGTATTCAAATTGAAAAAAGAACTTTAAATTGAAAATTTTGAAGAATCACTTGAATCATGGATTTACTTGTTTCAAAGATTTCAAAAGAATTATACGAGTCATATACGAATGACATAATTGCTTTTCATAGTTCAAGAGACTATCCACCAAAAGAGGTTTTTTTTGAGTTACAACAACTACAAAAAATCTTCTTTCCTGATTTTTTCATGAATCATAGACATATTTCCCAAGCTCATATCTCATTAGAACTGACACAATTTGTTGACCATATCTTATCTTCAATTGCAGGATATAATGATGATGTATTTGCACATCAATGTGCAATGAAAATGTTAGAAAAACTTCCTGTTGTAAGAGAAACTTTAAAAACTGATTTAATTGCTGCATATGCTGGAGATCCAGCTGCACCAGGACTTGCACTGATTGTAAGATGTTATCCAGGATTTCAAGCAACAATAATTTATCGAGTAGCACATATTTTATATGAATGTGGTGAACGTTGGTATTGCAGAGAATTGATGGAAAGTGTCCATTCATACACAGCAATAGACATTCATCCAGGAGCATCTATCAAAGGGCATTTCTTTATAGATCATGGTGTTGGTGTTGTTATAGGAGAAACAGCTATTATTGGGGAATGGTGTAGAATTTATCAATCAGTTACTTTAGGTGCAATGCATTTCCAAGAAGAAGGTGGTATTTTAAAGCGAGGAACTAAAAGACATCCAACAGTTGGTGATTATGTTACTATAGGAACAGGAGCAAAATTATTAGGTAATATTGTTGTTGGAAGTTATGTGCGTATTGGTGCTAATTGTTGGATTAACACTGATGTTGGAGACAATCAAATAGTCTATATCTCAGAACATCCAACTCATGTAGTGAAACCATGTAAATCTTGCTGTGAAACTAAAAGTGATGAACAAATAATTAAGATGATATCGCCATCACCTGCAGATTCAATAAGTCCAATAAACTCTCCTTTAAATTAGAATTTCTTTTAGCTAAACATCCTTTTTAGTTTTTTTTTAAAAAAGAATTTTTTATTGTTAAATATAAGAAATAAATGTCTTTCTATAAGTGATTTTTTTAATAAACAGTCTTATTTAAGAGTAAACCATTTATTATGAACATACTAAAGTTATTTTTTTCTATGAAGGGGTATTAACAGTTTGAAAATAACGAGAATTATTATGTTATAAAGAAATTATATTTTCTAATTAATGCTTTTTTAATAAATTCGATCTTTCATTTATAAAATTAGAAAATCTACAATAAATAAATTTTGAATTGATATGAATTGATTGTCTAATTTACATAATCAAATTTACTTTAAAGAAGTGTTAATACTATTTTTTCAATGAACTAATAATTTATGACAAATTAACAATTCATTTAAAAACTATTTAATATTTAACAGTAACTCCAAAGTCACAAAACTCTCAAACCTACCAAAAATACTAATTTGATTCAATGAATTCGGTTGTGTGGTTTGTAGTATAGAAAGGAATTATGAGAATATACTTTGACCATTCTGGTTATTTTGATCAATCAATTTATTTTTACATTGTTTTATTTGTCCATTGTTAGTCTTGATATTAAGAAAGATTTTTGAGGTTTGTTTCTTTTTCAATTTTTATGAGTCAATAAAAATGAAAGTTTTTACTAAAAAAGGTTCAAAATTAAAATACCTTTTTAATGGAAATCCAGTTTGTGTTTTGTGAATAAAAAGTATTAAAACAGATGATTCTATGAATCTATTCAATAATATATAACGCTTTCAATGCAATATAACAATTTTATATGCCAAGGCAATTTTAAAAGAAGTTGCCAACTTTCTTTTTAATAAAATGAAATTAAAAACTTCATAATATTAAATTAAATAATTTATAAATTTATTACACTTAAATTTTTTAATATCAGATAAACTATATTATACATCAAAATATATATTCATTTATTTTAAAAACCATTATTGCCATATAACAATTACTTTTTCTTATTAAAAATTCCATATTTGTTAATTTAGTTCTAGAAAATTCTAAAAACAATTTAGATTATAGTAATTTTTTATAATAATTTAAAGTGAAAAGATATTTTCTTTTAAGTATTATTTTTAATAATTTTCATATTTTTAAAAAACACATATTTATTTTGAGTTTCAATAAAATAATACCAAAATAATAATAATAATATAATTTTGTTAAACGTTTATTAATTAGGTTCATTAAAACTTTTTAATACTTTTTTTTATTAAACTACACTATTATAAAATATATTGTTAATAAAAACAAAAATTAAAAGAAAGAATATTTTAAAGAAATATCAACATATAATAACAAGAATTGTAAAATCAAATAAAATAAATTTGTTATTAATTTTTGTTCTTGAAAAAGTTATTATTTAAAGTTCTTCTTCTTCATATTTTGGAGCAACATATGGTTCTTTTACTCTATCTTTAAAAGAAGGAAAATCTTTTAATGTTTCAATTGTTCCTACCCTTCCAATCAAACTGTTTTTAGCAAATGAAATTACTTCTTCGGCATCAAATCCTCCAACAAACCGAATTAATCTTCCTCGTTGTGGGATATAAATAAGGGCAGTTGGTGTATCAAAGAAAACATTTAATTTATTACAGAGATCGTTTTGTTCAGAACAAGTGAATGATAATGTATGCATTTTACCTTCAAGTCCTTTACTAACTTGGTTAATCAATTCATTATTTTCTTCTTCTCCAAAGATTAATAAAAGACATGCCTTTCCCTTACATTGTTTCTTAAACATTTCATCATTTAAAACATGAACATTAACATAAGGAACTTCTTCTTCTTTTGGTTTCTCTGGTTGTTCATTTCCTGAACTTGTATTAATACCAGCTAAATTACTTAAATAAGCTAACATACTATTTAAATCCATTTTACCTTCATATTTTTTAATTTCTCCTTTATGTTGAATAAGTATTGTTGGGAATTGTTCAACTCCATATTTTTTTACTTGTTCATTGTCTTTATTACAATCATAAAATTTAAAAGCTCCATTAAGATGCATAGCAATTGCTTTATATAATAATGTTCTTTTTGGTTTGTCACTAAACAGAATAACACTATTTTCATCCTTATTTAATTCTGTTGGAATAGTTTCAATCCAATCAGGAATCATTGAATACATTGTACCACTAATAGCCCTAGCTTCTCTTGGACCATTATAATCTCGTGGTGTTCTGCGTTGGTGTCCTTTTTGAGCATCAAATAATTTAACTGTTGGAAAACCTTGAACCCCATAACTTCCACAAATATCTCTATGTTCTTCACAATCAACAGCAGCAAAAATTGTTTTTCCATTGACTTCTTTAGCAGCAGAAGCAAATTCTGGTGCAAGGTGTTTACAATGACCACACCATGGGGCATATAACATTAAAATTGTTGCTGAGGAAGAACTTTCTAATGCTTTAATTTCTTGCATGTTTTGAGGCATATAAATTGGTGCATCTCCAAAAAAGTGTGCATTAGTAAGAACAAGAAGAGTTAAGAATAAAGAAAACATAATTGAAAGTTATAGTTAATAGATGTAGAGTATATATTTATGCAGATGAAATCATGACGTGGAAATGATCTAATCAGAAGATAAATTCTGATATTCTATTTTTGTTTTTCTCTTTTTTCCAAAAAATTAATGTTATATATATCAATTAAAAAAAATAACATATTTTCAAGGTATTTTTGAAAATAGAATTAAGGAGATTTTTGTGAAATAGTTAAGAGAATAGAATTTTCTATAATTATTTTTGAAGAAAATTCATAACGTTGGACTTTTCTAAAGAAATGAATAACCAAATGAAGAACAAATATAAAAATGTCTCTCTTAATTCAATCTTTGTAAAGGCAATTTTCTACTTAAAAAAAATACAAAATATTTTTAATACTTGAAATAAAGTTGAAATGGTGGATTGTTTAAATATTTTTTATTAATCAATTAAAGATTCTACACAACTTTCTTTCTTGAGATGCACACAATGTCAGTATTTGTTCCAGTACCACATGGAAAGTATCAAATAGTAACTAATGAGAATAATACAAACACAAATTCTTTCTCATCATTACCAACTACACCTACAATATCATCTACACCATCAACTAATATTACTACCAATAGTTTAATAAAACCAAAAAAATATATTGTTCAATTATCAAAATCATTTCGCTCAAAAAAGAATTGGAAGTACAACCAAAAAGTATTTGCAATAAAAAAAGCATCAGAACTTGGATTAACAAAAGCAATTAAATTTTTACAAATCCAATATCCAGAAGTATATGAAGATCTTTCACTTTCAACACTTCAATATTGGATACAACATATAAAAAATAGTAATAGCTAATCATTAGAATAGTAAAGTATATACAATTATATAAATATTGTTATTTGTTAGTCTTTATAGTGCTATGAAAAGTAGCTTTTATTATTATTTTAAAAAGACTCTAAAAAGTCACTGTTTTTTTTTATTATCTCTCTCTTTCAACAAAAAAATAACAAAGAGAAGATGGAGCTTAAAATTTTTACAATTAATGAAAAAATCATCTTTTAAGTATCTATTAAAATAGAATAAAATTAAATTTAATGTGTATTGTTGAAAAGGTTGTTGGTTTATAATCAAATATTAGACTCTTAAGCAAATCAGAAATAATTTTTGTTTAATACTATTTCATTAATTTAATCTTTTTTAAACCTTTTAGAATTAAATAAAACTATTTTTATTTTGTGAAGATGATATTTTTTATTTCTGATATTAAATATTTATAAATATTTAACGAATTATTTATCAGAATTGTAAGAAATAATGATTAATAAAATTATTTTTAGATTGATTTCTTCATTTTAATAAAATTATCTTTCTGCAAAATTATTATTTGGTTTGATATTATTATTTTATTTAAAAATAGTCTGAATTGTTAATATAAAATATTTTTACTAATAATATTCATAAACATTTTTATTAAAAAATATTAAATTCAGTGTTTAAATCTTCTCATTTTATCATTATTTAAGGATAAAGTCTTTGTTTTTTTTACTAATGAGTAGTAGTATATTCGTTATTATTTGTGTTAATTTGTCATTAGTTTTATTAAATTTTATTATTCAAATAATGAGTTATTAGTTCTATTTAAATCAGCTACTTTATTAACTTCACTTGTTCAAATAACATCAAATTTTGTTTATAACTGTTTAATGAAATAATGTTATTATAATACATTTAATCATATTGTTTTGGTTTATTTCTTTAAAAAACAATGTTTTATTCTAACAACATTGAACGTTAAAACAATTAATGAATTTATGAAAATACCATGAAATAAATACTTCTAGTCTTAAAAAAATAAAACTAAAAACAAAGTTCAAAAACTGAAAAGATGTAAATGAGGGTTTTAATTACGACTGTTTCAGGTAATACTCATGAAATTGAAGTTGATCAGAATCAAACTATCAAAGAATTAAAACAAAATATTAGTGATTTATATCAGATTGAAACTCAGTTATTACATCTTATATATAAAGGAAAAAACTTAAAGAATGACAAAAGTACATTAAAAGAGAACGAAATTACAGAAGGTAGTAAAATTACTGTTATTAAATTAAAAACACTAACACATCTAATTTCAAAAGAAATACAAGCTAAAAAAGAGGAAATTAATTTTAATATAACTGAACAAGAAGTAAATGATGATATTATGGAAATTGAATTTGGAGATGAAAGTTTTGAAGAAATTGTAAATGAAATAGAAAAAGAAGAACCAGAACTAGCAGAAGAAATTAGAGATAATCCAGAATTATTAAATATTATATTTGAAGAAGAATTAAAAGAGGCTAATGAATATTGTAAGAATCATATGGAAGAAATAAATGAAGATACAGAAGAAGAAAATGAAGAAGAAATGATTAATTATAAAAAAGAATTAGAACAACTTAAAATTGAAGGAGAAGTATTTGATAAAATTAATAATAAATTAAAGAATGGAGAAGAATTAAATGATTTAGAACACTCAATATTAGAAGAAGAAAATTCGTATGAATTATGTATAATATTTATATTAATTAATGAAGGGTTTCCTGAAAATATTGTACGTGAAGCAATAAAAAATACTTCAACTCTTGATGAAGCACGAACATACTGCAAATATTATTTAAATTAAATGTTATATTTCTTTTATTCATAACAAAGATTTTAATACTCTTAATAAAATAATAACAAGAAGGTAAAATAAGAAAAATATCTATTCATTTCAATAATTATGAGAGAAATTGGTCTACATAAGGTTTGATAAATGGTAAATGTATTAATTGAGTAAAGATATACATTGACTGAATAATAATTACCACTGCAGTTGGTTCTTTTACACCAACTTGAATTAATGTAACAATAACAGACCCAATACAAATCCCATGGAATATAATAGCAAAAGTTACATGTGGAGTAATACAACAACATTTTTTATTAAATCCATACACAAAAAAATAACTATTAAAATAATTAATATAAATCTATTAGTTTAAAAAGAATTTTTATAAAATAATACAAACGAAAGAAATGATGGAGGTAATGAACAAATATACAAAGAGAAAATAATCCATTTATTATTAATAGTAAATAACAATATTAAAGTTGTTAATGATAATATTGCTGTAATAATCCATAAAATTATCGTAACAATAACACGAGCATGTTTTGTAATTTTAATTACTCCTAAGTTCCAGTCATATTTAAATGTTTCACTTGAAATATCGTCTTTCATAACTAATAAAAATTTTAAAAGTAAAATTTTCAGTACTTTTTGACTCCAAAAAAAACTATATAATAATAATAAATTAAATTAGTAATTAAACTAGAATTAACTTATATAATTACCTAAATTTGTATCCTTTTTGTCTTTATTAAAATTATCTTTTATTATATTCAGTTGATGATATTATTTTTATACTCTTGTTATATGTACATCTTCTTCTTGTATTAATACCTTTTTTTTATCTGTTATTTTTCTTATTAAAATATAAATGAAAATACCTTCACATTTTCATTGAAGTATATTTATTATTTATCATTATTTATCTCCTTTCTTTATTTTTTATTTAATGAGTAGAGTCAATGATAATAGTAAATTCTTTATTTTCATTATAATTTGAACATAAACTCTATTTTATTAAAAAAACTCAACAACTTTTCTAACACCTATAAAAATTTATTTCTCTTCAAATAACAATTCTCTAGAATTGTAATATTCTTTTTTATTAATAGTTTAGTCTTAATGATAGAAATTGATAAATTTAATTTTATTATTAGGTTTCAATACATATTCTTTAGATATTATACTTTTTATTATTTTTATTCTTCTTATAGAAAATAAAATAGTCTATTCTTTATCATCAATATTTACCAAACACTTTACTTTATACTCAATTAAACAAAATAACTTATAAAATGCCTCAAACAAAAAAGAATATTGTGTGAACCAAAATGAATAAATTCGACTTTATTATACAAAAAAATATTCATTTTGAATTGAATTTTTCTATTTTTGTATCCTGATAAATTATCGTTTATATTTCTTCTTTAGTTTATAGAAAGAGTTGTTATCTTAATTTTATTTACCTTATTTTCTTTGCAACAAACAATAGAGTTTATCACTAAACAATACCTTTTATTATAAATAAATGAAAATCTTCTATCTCATTTTATGAACAATATATAACGTTTATTTT